CGTCGGAAGTTGGGGATGCTGAAATCTTTGTCCTACAACCCCCGCCAAAATGAACTTCACAAAAAGTCCCACGTATATTGGCCGTAACCTAACACGGCGGGCGCGTAAGCGCACCCGCCTTCATCGTCGCCCCCAAGACGGAAGCCCTATATCATGTTGATCCCCCGGGTAGCGTTTATCACCCCCCGTTCGCCTACGCTGAGTTCGCCCTTCAAGGGGCAGGTGGATTTAGATCCTGCAAACTCCAGTGTATTTTTCTTGCTGCCGTTGGCATTGCGGGGGTGCGTGGTCAAGCATGTTCCCCAGTCATTTAGCGATGACATGCATTCCATTCCCCAGTAAAACTACCAGGCGCGCGGGTGGGGGAGGAGGAGGGCGGGGAGAGAGGAGGGCGGGGAAGGAGGAAGAGGAGGAGGATGAGCAGCAGCAGCAGCAGCAGCAGCAGCAGCAGAGGGAACCCAGGATACATCAACGATGCTGCTATACATCCTCCCGTCCCACGCCGCCCTCTTCATAGAGTCATGCAAGCTGTGCGGTTCATGCCGTCGCCACTCCGCTATTCCGGAGTCGTTTCTTTGTCCGGGATGGGCAGCAGACGGTGAAGTTGGAGCCATCTCGGGCCATCTTTTCCCCCGGTTTCCTGGCGAGGAGCAGGGGGAAGCGGACGTTGGAGCCATCTTGGGTCATCCTCCCTTTGGTCTCGCTTCCGATTCGCAGGCGGCCGCTGAAGCCAGAACCATCTCGGGCCATCCTTTTCCGCACCCCGACGAGGAGGACAGGGAAGCGGACGTCGAAGCAATCTTGGGTCATCATCCCTCCTCCCTCGCTTCCCTCCTTCCGTCCTCCGTCCTTCGTTGTTCGTCTTCTTTGTTTATTTCTTCTTCTTCCTCCTCTTCTTCTTGACTCCTCCTTTTGCCCTCAGCTCCCCCCTGCGCCTTCACTTCTTCATTCTTTGACTTTTGTCCATCAACTCTGTTCCGCCCCTCCTTCCTCACGTCTGTTCTCCCCTCCCTCCTTCTTCATCGTTCATCCATCCCCGTCACCCTCCTTCACCTTTGGTCTTTCCCACCCTCTCTCTTATTCCTTCTCTTCCTCTTCCCTCCTGTCATCCTCCGTCCTTCGGTGTTATTTTTATTTGTCTGTCTCTTATTATCATTAGTTTTCTTCTTCTTATCTCCTCCTCCTGCCCTCAGCTCCCCCCTGTGCCGTCCCTCGTTCGTACTTCGACTTGTGTCTATCCACTCTGTTCAAACGCTCCCTCCTCACGTCTGTTCCCCCATCCGTCCTTCATCATTCGTTCATCTCTGTCTCCCTCCTTCACCCTTCGTCAGTCCTACCCTCTCTCTTCTTCCTTCTCTTCCTCCTTCATCGCTCGTACCTCTACCCTCCCACTGCCCACTCCGTACTCCCTCCTTCCTCATCGTTCATCCATCCCCGTCTCCCTCGTTCATCCTTCGTCTTTCCCACCCCCTCTATTCTTCCTTCCCTTCCTCCCTCATCGCTTATATCTCAAGCCTCCCACTGCCCACTCACTGCTTCCTCCTCCCTCATCGTTCGTCCATCCCCGTCTCCCTCGTTCATCTTTCGTCTTTCCCACCCTCTCTATGCTTCCTTCCCTTCCTCCCTCATCGCTCATACCTCTACCCTCCCACAACCTCCAAGAGGCCCTCGAAGAACTCGCGGTCCCCCAGTGCTGAAAAACATCGGGTTGGCGCAAGGCCATCCGTTTGTTTATCAGCACTGGAGGGGCGGTGAGTCCGTCGAGGGTGCATTTACGAAGAGCTGGCGCAATCTTTACTATGCCAACGTGTTCGGGATTTGGAGTCAGCATTGGAGGGCGCCCTGTTAGAGACGTCGCAGGTGTTAGCATTGGGGGGGGCGCCCAGTAAAGGCATCGCAGGGGTAGGCATTCAGGTAGGGGCGTCAGTTAAGCCCGACTGCCAACTGGTTCACATTCACATTGGTACCCAAAGCGATTGCGACCCATTTGATCGTCAAGCCCCCCAGTTGATTCACATTCACATTGGCAGCAGGAGCCGTTGCGATCTATTGCAATGAGTGGCTCAAATATTCACATTGGTAACCGGTGCGGTTGCGATTGCGACCCGTTTGATCGTCAAACCCAGTTGATTCACATTCACATTGGTGGCAAGAGTCGTTGCGAACTATTGCAACGAATGGTTCGCATTCGCACTGGTAGCAGGAAAGCTTGCGATCTATCGGGCGTCGCCGTCTTGAGGGCTCCGCCCGTATGAAGTTAATTTTGGCGGAGGTAGTAATCGTCTGACCTTCAACAATGACAGATTCGCTTGAGACATCCTCGAAAAAATGGGATGCGCCAAGAGCTCTGTTAAGGCATCTTCTCGGAGCGCTCTTGGATGACATCCAAAATGGCCCAAGAAGCGAAATGATTGAAAAACCTGTGTGGTTTCAACACGTCCGTTCCAGAATCAGCGTTTCGCTCGACACAGCCAAACCAAATGCCTTCGAGCGGGTCCTCGAAACCATCAGATCATGATGGGCATGCCGATGTACGTTCGGGTATGTTGGGCTAGGACTGTTGTTGGTGAGGTCTTGCCAAATTCACTCGAGACATGTTTCAACTTGCCTTCGGGTTTCCAAACAACGAAAGTACTTCTCAACCAGTGTGTTTCCCCCAACCCTCCTGTGTCGGGCACTCGGTTTGAATAGAGCATTGCGGTCCCCACCTCCTTCTCCTCCTCCTCATCCTCCTCCTTCATTCGTCCATTCTCCTCCTCCTCGTGGCATTCCTCCTCCCTGCCTCGTGACCTCGCCGTCCCTTGGGGGGCTGCGATTTGCAATATTGACGCCACTTTCGTGGGCTTCTGGGAGGGCCAGCGGAGGTACGTCCCACGCAGATCACCACGAGACCTCGCCGTCCCTTGGGGGGCTGCGATTTGCAATATTGACGGCACTTTCGTGGGCCTTTGGGAGGGCCAGCGGAGGTACGTCCCACGCAGATCATCACGAGACTTCGCCGTCCCCTGGGTGGCCTGCGATCTGCGAAATTGTGGCCACTTTCGTGGGCTTCTGGGAGGGCCAGCGGAAGTACGTCCCACGCAGATCACCACGAGACTTCGCCGTCCCTCGGGGGGCCGCGATGTGCGAAACTATCCCCAAATTCGTGGACTTCTGGGAGGGCCAGCGGAGGTACGTCCCACGCAGATCACCACGAGACCTCGCTGTCCCCTGGGGGGGTGCGATCTGCGAAATTGTCGCCACTCTCGTGGGCTTCTGGGGGGGGCCAGCGGAAGTACGTCCTACGCAGGTCACCACGAGACTTCGCCGTACCTTGGGGGGCCGCGATCTGCGAAACTGCCGCCACTTTCGCGGGCTTCTGGGGGGGGCCAGCGGGGGTACGTCCCACGCAGATCACCAGGAGACCTCGTCGCCCCCTGGGTGTGCTTCGATATGCGAGCGGAGGTACATCCTACGCAGATCACCATGAGCCCTCGTCGCCCCTTGGGGTGCTTAGATCTGCGAAGTTGTCGCCACTTTCGTGGGCTTCTCGGAGGGCCAGCGGAGGGACGTCCCACGCAGATCACCACGAGACCTCGCCGTCCCCTTGGGGGCTGCGATCTGCGAAATTGTCGCCACTCTCGTGGGCTCCTGAGAGGCCCAGCAGAGGTACGTCCCACGCAGATCACCACGAGACCTCGCCGTTTCCTGGGCGTCTGCGATCTGCGAGACTGTCGCCACTTTCGCCGGCTTCTGGGAGGGCCGGCAGAGGTACGTCGACCTCGTCGCCCCCTGGTGGGCTGCGATCTGCGAAACTGCCGCAACTTTCGTGGGCTTCTGGGGGGGGGGCCTGCGGAAGTACGTCCTACGCAGATCACCACGAGACCTCGCCGTCCCCTGGAGGGGTGCGATTTGCAAATTGTTGCCACTTGTTGTGGGCTCCTGGGAGATCCAGCGGAGGGGTGTCCCACGGGGACCACCATGAGACCCCGCTGCGCTGTTTGATCGCAGATCGCAGCAGGATGGGGCGCCACGGAGCGCATGGCGCTGTCATCTGCCCATGCCGCATCGACTATTAAGTTGCCTTATGTCCGTAGTGCATTCGGGCACTTGCAGCGCTGGGCGCTGTTCTGTCATAGCGCGCATGGCGTTGTAATGCACTTGGAACCTAGCGCGATGCGCTGTTACTCCCAGGAAGCATGTCTCCATGTTTCCCTCATCGGTATGTTCCCACGCCCCCTCATGGTCGTTTTCCTGCGAATGTGAAACATTTGGCTCTGGCCCAACGTTCTTTGGCGAAGCGTTCAAAAGCACGGCGGATATTTCAGTGTTTGCTTTTGTATTGAGCGGTCCGATGTATAGTCGCCTCATCTGTACAAAGGGTTGGGTACATCCCTGGGTAGTTCAACATTCTGGGGCTTTGCCTGAACTTGCGCGGGTAGTGAACTCCACCTGATACCCCCCGTGGACGTTCGAGAAGAGCGCCTATGCTGCAGTCGATCTCGATGTTGGTGCATGTGTTTGTCAAGATCCGCGGTTTCACGCGCTTCCCGTTCATGTCGGGTAAGGTTCTGATTCTAGCACGCCTCAACGTGCCAGGGGGCACGGTGGCGGATTTTGAAAACCACTCGCCCTCAATCCGTGAAACTCTTGCACATGTTTAAAACGAACGTGCGCGGCGCTAAAGCGAGAGCCACATTTTGTAAGCGGCCCGCCCTCCATCCGCGAAACTGCTGCCACTTCTCTAGCTTTAGAACCATCAGTGGTAAGGAAGTCCCCGGCGAGACGCCCGGGCCGCCCTCCCAACTGGCCCCGGGGCGCGACAGAGGAGTTATTCTCAGAGCGTGAATTACCTACCCCGCTTTCGCTTCCAGGCAAAACCAAGCCATACCACGCGCCTCCTCGTCAAGCGGATTGACCAGTACAGGCTGCAATTTGGCGTCGTTTGGTATCTCTTGGAAGCGAGGGTGGTCAAAAGCGAGGTAGGTTTGTTTTCCCCCTATATTCACAAGGAAAAGAGAATGAAGGAGCTGGAGCGGCTGGAGGCTGCAGGAACGGGAGGAGGCACCGCGCGGCAGGCGCTCTCCGGGAGCGCGGGAGCGCCCGCCATGGGCGCGGCGGGCTGCCGGGTCGACCCGTGCGGCGGGTGCCCGGAGCAGGAGGCGCCGCCCGGCGCCCGGGCGGGGGGGCGGGGGCGAGGTGAGGTGGAGGGCCATTTGCCCAGCTTCAAGTCGGGCAGGTCCTTCTACAGGAGAGAGATGCAGAGATAGCCAAAAAATAATACAAGGACGATGTTTCTACCATTTTGACTAGTTCTTGATATATTTCGTTTCCTTTTTTTTTTGTTAAAAATCCGCAAGTAGGAGGGCGTGCCCGACCTAAGCCCAGCTGTCCCCTGCTCTGGGCCTCCCAGATGGGGTCCGAGCAGATGGGGTCGGAGGATCGCGCCGCATCGCCGCATCGCCGATACATCGGCGACGCGGCTCGATGTGGAGCCCAACTGTCCCCACGCCGCTGGCGCCGAAGCATCACTGGCGTCGCCGACGCATCGCGGATGCATCAGCGATGCGGCGCGATCCTCCGACCCCATTTACTCAGAGCCCATCTAGGAAGCCTCTAATTACCTGCTGCGCTCACCTACGGTTAGGTTCGCGTCCTGTCGACCGGCGGCGACCCCGCCGCCGGCGTCCCACGCTGAGCGCCGCCAGCAACCTAGAGTCGATCGACGTTGAACGATCTGACGCTGGGGTCACGGCCGATCGTTCAAGAGTGAACGATCTCCGCGGTATCAGGAGCCAACGCCGGGATCGACACGACACGAATTTGCCGTAGGCTCATTGTTTATCGAAAACGGCATCAACATACCAAATGTTCAGAACTCCGCGCGGGGTTCCTGGAGCGGCGCTGGGCCTCCCTGGCGGTGCCGCAGGCGCCGCCCTTGGCGCGCTCCGCGCGCCAGGGGGGGGTCCAGCACAGATCCGAGAAATTCGCACAGAACTCCGAAAGTTTACGTTCAAGCAGTTGTTACTTCCTCTGTCGGTTATTTACGTTGCATCTGTATCACACGAGCGCAGCACCTGCACAGCCCACGTCCGCTCAGCGTCAAAACGGCGGACTGCCACAGCGAGGGGCGCGCGCGCGCAGCGATGACACCGGCAGTTGCCGCGCTCAGGATAGTAGCAGAGCGCTTGAGAGTATGCTGGGAAGCGCAGCGGCTACTCTCAGGAGGGAAAAAACACACGGACACAATGAATCGTCGATTCCCCCGAAAATATTGGAAAATATCAGAAAATACGAGAAGTGGGGGGGAGGACGAAATCCCATAAAACATTGGGAAATATCGGAAATCTTGGGATTTGTGTCTATTTATTTGCGTGTCCCCGGGCCCCTTTCTGTTCGTCGCGGCCGCTGATGCAGGGCACGGGACACGCAAGAGGCGCGTGGAAGACCTGAGTGCAGCGAACGGCCTTTAAAAACAGAGGGGGAGGCTCGAAGACCCCGCAGCCCAGGGGGGGGGAGGAGAGATTGGGGGGGAGGAAGGAAGGGGGAGGAGGAGGGAGGAGGGGGACTTCCCCGGAATTGTGGAAGTCGATGAAAAAAAACGCCATAAACATAAATGTTTGGCGCTCAGCGTGGATTTCTTGGATCTGCAATGGGCCCCCTTCCCTTGCGCGCGGAGCGCGTTGAGCGGCAAAAGTTTATGTTTATGGCGTTATTTCTTCTTCTATGGAAGGGGAGGGGGGGAAGGAAGGGGTCAAGTTCCCAGCGGGTACGCTCCGAGCTGCCTCACTCACTCCCACCCGCCCTCCCACCGTACAGGTGGCACGAGAGACTCAGCATGGGCCGAGGTCGCCATGGGGTACACAACCATCACAAACCAATACCCACGCCAGATGCGTGACGCGAGGTGCGCGAGATGACCCAGGGGTCCAAGCGTGCCAGGCGCGCCTGGTGCGCCACGTGCGTCAGCAGTGCCACGTGCGACGCGCGCAGAGTGCGCCAAGCGGCGACAGGTGCGCCAGTGGACGTGTCGGCACAAGTTGGGCAACATGCTGAATACATGTGAAAATATATGGGATCATATATGCACAGTGGCGGCGGGGTGGTCAGCATAGTGCAATTACGGTGTATGGTGTGTGTGTGCGCGCGCCCGCAACCAGCTTGCCTTCGATATCTAAACGGATCGTGTGCGAGCGCACATCGCGCAAACATGACCACCACCCCCACCCCGCCACGCCATCCCTGACGAAAACCATGCAAGGTGATCCTGGGGTGCCCACTCATGATCCAGATTTCGCCGCCGCGAGCACTTTGAGCTGTCTTGTTCGAAGGGATGGTTGGAGGGGGGGCGATCGTGATTCCTGGTTGGCGGCCAGTCGAGCGGCGGGGGAGGGCGTGTGAATTGATAAGAAAGCAGAGATGGAGGGGAGGGAGGAGGGTGAGATGGGGGGGGCCGCTCGCGCCCCCCTCGTCCAGACCCATGGAAGTTCCCAGCGAGACTGGCGCAAGCTGCGTCGCTAATTCCCATCCGCCCTCCCACTACAGAAGTAGCACCCGAGTCTCAGCATAAGCAGGGGCCGTCGTTGATAGCCATCGGGAACCAGTGCAGGCGCCAGCCAGGTGCACGAAGCCCACGAGGTGCGCCGCACATGCCAGCTGCGCCACGCGCAGCAGGTGCGCCACATTGGGCAAGATATCGAGCCCCCCACACCCCTTTTGAGAAACCAATGCAGAGTGACGGCGCGCTGGGGAGCATTGTATACTGCGGGCGGGCGTGCACACTTCATTCTTGTTCCTCTGGTTTTGACAGGGATGTTGGGCTTGCACACGGCAGGCCATATGCCGCCCCCCGCCGCCGTCCCTAGCGAAGTGAGGTTCGCGTTTTCTGTTAAAAGGGATGGTGGGCCTACACAGCAAGCCGTTTTGTCGGCCCCCTCGCCGTCCCTCATCAAGAACCCAAGCGAACTGTTCCCTGTCCAAAACCATGCAAAGTGACCGCGCGGCGTCCGTGCATGATCCAGATTTTGGTGCAAATTTCACTTTGTCATTTCTTGCACGGAATGGTGGGGGACCCGTATTGTCTTGGGTTTGTCGCCAGTCGGGTGGGGGGATGTATATTGATGAGCAGCAGTGATCCAGCAAGTTCTTAACCGGTACTCCATAAGCAGTCTCGTTCACTCCCATCCGCCCTCCCACCATATAAGTAGCACCGAAGACTCCGCATGGGCGGAGGTGGCCATGGGATGCACAGCCATCGCGAACCAACACACACGCCAGCTGCGTAGCGCGAGGTGCGCCAGGTGACCCAGGGGCCCAAACTTGCCAGGCGCGCCCGGTGCGCCACGTGCGTCAGCTGTGCCACGTGCGGCGCGCGCAAAGTGCGCCAGGCGGCGACGGGCGCACCAGTCACAAATTGGGCAACATGTTGGAAAACATATACACGGTGGCGCCACGCGTGCCAGGTGCGCCACGTGCACCAGGTGCGCCAGGTGACCCCGGGGGCCCAAGCGTGCCGGGTGTGCCACGAGCGCCGGTTGTGCCAGCCGCGCCAGGTGCGCGAGGCGCGCAGAGTGCGCCAGCGCACGTGTCAGCACACATGGGGCAACATGTCGCCCCCCCTCCTCCTCCCTCCTCCTCCTCCTCCTCCTCCTCCTCCTCCTCCTCCTCCTCCTCCTCCTCCTCCTCCTCCTCCTCCTCCTCCTCCTCCTCCTCCTCCTCCTCCTCCTCCTCCTCCGTCCTCCTCCCTCCTCCTCCTCCTCCTCCTCCTCCCCCCCTTCTCCTCCTCCTCCTCCTTTCTCTCCTCCTCCTCCTCCTCCTCCTCCTCCTCCTCCTCCTCATCATCCTCCTCCTCGTCCTCCTCCTCCTCCTTCCTCTATACCCACCTTTCCTTTCGGAGAAGCATTGCCGACTGTCGGCGGGGTGGTCGGCATGGTGTGCGGCATGCGCACCCGCAGTGGTGTCGATTCGATCTCGACAGGGGTCACACCCCCGCCATCCCTGTCGAACGCCAATGCAAAGCGGTTGCCGCCGCGTGCATCTAGTAGTGTTTTGATGGCGGGGGGTCTCCTGGTTCGTAGTTGGCGGCCAGTCGAGTGGGCGAGGGGATGGTCGTGCAGAAACAGCAGTGATAACCCTCCCGAAGCGGAAGAGGGAGTTTGGAAGAACGAGCTCGCTAGACCACATACGCCCTAAGGGCTAGTGGGATTCCAGCACACCCCTCACGCGCATCGTGCAATGTAGAGAGTTCCACGTATGGTGTGCTCACATGTGGGCCTCGCCAATTTACGCACACCCCTGAAGGTGTCCCATCGGAACCTCCATCTGCGACCTCAGTGTACGCGCTCGCTTGCGGCGATTGCCCCCCTCTCCTCTCCCTCCTCTCCCTCCCCCTCTTCATCCTCCCCTCCCCACCCTTATCCTTCCTCCTTCTCTCACCCCCTCCCTCCATCCATGACCTCCCTCGTCCTTCTCCTCACGCCCTCGTCCTCCCCTCCTCCCCCCCCTTCCCTGTCCTCCCTCGCCCTTGTCCTCCCCACCCACCCCCTCCCTGCCCCCTCTCCTCTCCTCAGTCCTGCCCCTCCTCGCCCTCCCCCGCACCCCCTGCAGCCCGCCGAGGAGAAGGAGCGGGGCGACTGCCCCGACCCAGGCGCGAGCCGCCCACCCGGGCTGGACCGCGCCCCCAGCAAGGACCGCCGGCCCAGCGCGCGCCAGGCTGCGCTCGCCCCGCTGGCGGCGGCGGCGGCAGCGACGGCGACGATCGCCGAAGGCTGGAGCGACGGCGGCGGCGACGACGGCGACTGCCGTGGGGGCGCGCATCAAGAAACCACATGCTTTTCGTCAGGGTATCCTGGGTTTCTTCGCTCCTCGCGCTGCGCGGTGACTTCCCGCAGCCGTTGAAGGAGCTGCTGCGTTCAGGGTGCTCTGGGCTTCCCCTCAGGGAGCACTTAGCGCACGGGTTCTCGGGGTTGGGTTTCCTGCAGGGGGTTCTTGCGGCCGCGCCCGCGCTGTATGCGGTGGCGGCGACGGCGGCGACGACGGCGGCGACGGCGACGGCGATGGCCCCAGAGATCCGACGCTCCAAAAAAAAAATGGAGCGGTGGGATTTGGGCCGTTTTCGACCTTCGGCGGGGGCCCTCGCCGGGCCTCTCGGGGGCGGCAAAACAACGACTCCGGGCGAAGAGCCAGCCCCGGGGAAGTGGCCCGGACCTCCGACGGCCACGCATCGAACCAAAAAATGGGCTGCCGGATGTCGGGGGCGGCGCGACGATGTCGGCGGGGGGCGGCAGCTTTGGCGGGCGGCGGGCGGTGGGTTTGGCCCATTGGCTTACCAGCTTTGGCAGCGGGGGGGCGTGAGATTGGGTCGACCTTTCGGAGGGGGCGAAGCTGAGACGGAGAGGAGGAGGAGGAGGAGGAGGAGGAGGAGGACGAGGAGGAGGAAGAGGAGGAGGAGGAGGAAGAAGAGGAGGAGGAGGAGGAGGAGGAGGGAGGGTAGGAGGAGGAGGAGAGAATAGGAATGGGAACGTCCATATTTTTTGTCTAACAGAAGATGCCACCCTTTAAGCTCATCCAGAGACATGCAGAGAAGGAGGAGCGTGGAGACGGCCCTAGTGAAAATGCTGGTTCACCCAAGAGCAATACACAGCCACGGCCAGTCCCAGTCCCTCCACCAGCATACAGCACACATACGAACGCATTCACCTTGTAGTGCCGAGACCACGGAACAACCGCTGCGGATACCGCACACAGAGGCCCGGAAACGGTATGTCCACCAGCGCATACAGGATTTTGCCGAAATTGCAGCATGGGTTGTAAACCAATTTACGCCAGAGAGTTTCGCATAACGCTGCTCCGCGGACGAAGGAGCTCACGCCGCATGTGCGCCAAGGATACCGCCCAAGGCGGTATGCCGCTAGCCGCAAGGCTATCGTACCAGAGTCTCGGAAGCTTGACTGCTGCACACAAGCAATTACACAACGACCGCAGCCAGATATGACCAGCCGCCCATACACAATCTCCGCGGCCCACCACCTGAAAGTACACCCAGGGATAGGGGCGGAGGCTTCTGCATCAGAAAACCCACCAGGACCTCTGCTCCCACCATCCCTAGGGTGCACCGCGCAGATGGTGCACAGGAAGAAGAACCGAAGCAGCAGCGAACTGGCCAAAATCATCCTATTGCAGAGTCCCGACGGCAGCCGGTAAGCACAGCAGTGACATATTTCAGTTGTTGTTGTTGAAGAAGAACAAGAAGAAGAAGAAGGAGGAAGAAAGTAAAAGTAAAATACCCTAACTCTATGGTATCATCACACATAAAAATACATCTCTCGCTGAAGAAGACGTTGAAAAGAACAGGCTCGTGTGGCCCGCGGTGATGTGCGGGAGACGCTGGAGGCCCGTGCCCCGTGCATGGTAAAAGTCTGGCTTCGCCGTTGCTCGCAGCAATATACTGCCTTCGCCGTAGGCTTGCATTTGGAGACCATCACCCGTAGGGCCTAGTCTCGCTGAGCCGATTTGCCCATGCAATTGATGAGCGGCACGTTGCACATGATGAGTTAAGTGAGTGACCCACGGAGAAGTTGCCACGCACCGGACCGAACGTGCCTATGCCCTCGCCGAAGTACGCGCCCACGCCAGAACCTAGACGATATTCGGACCGAAGCCACCCCGTCCCTGGGTAATTGCGGTACCAGCAGAACTCAGACCCCAGCGATTCGACGACCCCGCCCAACCCGAGCGAGGCCTTCTCGAGGCGGATTCTTCGTGCTGCGCGCTGCCTCGCAATGTTCAGCGAAACACATGGATAGCAACCCTTTTTCTTTAAATGAAAGGTACTCCTTGCGTGACGCACATGACCCGTCTGACGGCCATAGCTGCGAATCTGCAGTCACAATCACACGGGTTGAAGCCAATGCCAGAGTTACAACGCACAGAGCACAACCGTTTCGGATGCAATTCTTGGGAGGTCGAATTTTGATTATGCCCTGGTCCGAAATTTGGCTTAATATGGTTCAATCCCGTTTAATCCAGGTTAATCCTGCTTCATCCGGTTCAATCCCGTTCAATCCATGGCCAAGTCCAGCGCAACAGCCCCCCAATTGGGCTGCATTCTCCGTACTCCGTCCGACGAGAGAACGCGTTTCACGGGCGCTTGCCTTGGCAACATTCGGCGGCGCGTTTCGAACCCAGCGGTGGGCACCCCCCCCCAACACTCGGCGCCGTCGATCAAAACCAGGGGGACTCCCCTCCCCCCCAAACCGCCCCCCCTCCCAAACCCCCCCCTCCCAGGGGGGGGTGGGGTTTTGAACCCTGCCGGCGCCGGCGGCCGCCAGCACCGCCGACGGCGGGTACGCAGCAACGATGACCAGAGGCAGCCCAAAGGAGCGGGGGGGGGTTTCAACCCCCCCCCTGGCGCCGGCGCTGGCGCCGGCCAGCTGCGCCAGCGTTGGCATCGGCGACGGCGGGGACGCAGCGACGATTACCACCACTACCACCACCACCACTACCACCACCACCACCGCCTCAACCCACCACCACCACCACCAACCCACCACACAACCACCACCACCACCACCACAGCCACCACCCCCACCACCACAACCACGACCACCCCAATTCAGCATCATCACCACCACCACAAAAACCCACCAGTACGACCACCACCACCACAATCTACCACGCCACCAACACCACCGCCACAACCACCACCACCACCAGCGGCACAACCCACCACCACCACCACAAACCACCACACCACCACCACCACCACCACCACCACCGCCACCACCACCACCACCACCACCAGCACCACCTCCACAAGCCACCGCCACCACCACAACCCACCACCACCATCACCACCACCACAAACCACCACCACAACCACCACCACCACAACAAACCACCACACCACCATCACCACAACCACCACAACCGCCACCACCACCACCACAACCCACCACCACCACCACCACAAACCACCACCACACCACCACACCACCACCACCACCACCACCCACCACCACAACCACCACCACCACCACAACAGACCACCACACCACCATCACCACAACCACCACCACCGCCACCACCACCACCACAACCCACCACCACCACCACCACCGTCCTCGTCGACGCTCCCCGCCGCCGCCGCCCGCCGCCGCAGGCGCCGGCGCCTGCCCAGAAAAGGAAATCGTCGTCCCCGCCGCCGCCGCCGCCAGCCGCCGCCGACGCAGGCGCTGGCCCGAGGAGAGGGAGAGGAGAAGTAGGGGAGGGGGTCGCCCCCCCCTTCCAAGCGACCACAGAACGCGCTCTTTCCGATGAAGACCTCCTGGCAGTTCCTCCTGACATCGTACAGAGCAATCTGCCAGTGCACCGTGAAAGTTTTGCGAGCCTGGGCCCTTGCTCGGAATGCCAACCCTCATAGATGGGCTCCATAGACGTTGCGGCCTGGCCAGGGCCCGCAGCCGCGGCCGTCCGGAGCCGCGCATGGGAGGTGAGGCGCCAGGGCGCCCGCCCACCGGCCCCCAGCGTGCGCCAGAAACCGCCCTGCCCCGCTGCCAGGGGCGGCCCCTGCGATGTGACGAGACGACAGCAACGTCAAACACACACGCTTGTTAAGCACGTTTTTCGGCTCGTCACCTGAGGACTGTTCAAAGTGGGCACGCAGACTGCTGTGGCTGCGCGCGGGCCTGGGGCGCGGCGATAGCCCCGAGCCGCACGTTGCCACAGGCATGTGCGTGAAAATGAGTTCGTCGCTAGGGGCGGCTCACACTTAAGCTTGTTCTACCTTCGCACCAAATTTTGCATCATCTGCGTCACTGAGGAGAGCACACATCGAAGAAGGCTTGCGGCAGCCACAGCTGTCTTCAAGTGATTGAGGCGCGACGCCACGATGAGTTAGAGAGTAGTTTGAGCCATAGAGATCAACGCGCCTTGGGCCGAATGCGATGAAAGGAGGAGGAAAAGGAGGAGGAGGAAGAAGAGGAGAAGAAGGGCGCCAGCGCAGCAGCTGGCGGAGCGCCTGGGCGCCAGGGAGAACGTGGTCGGCCACTGGTTCGCTTCGGTGCCCGTTCTGAGCAGAAGGTGTGCGTGCGACAGACCGTGTCGCCGCGCCAGGAAAAGGAGGAACACCAGAGTAAGCCCAAGAGGCATCAGCGATGCTGCAATACACCATCCTGTCCCAAGTCCCCTTCTCACAGGTCCCTTTTCAGCTTTCCTTCGCACTACAAGCAGCGCCCCTTTGAGAGACCAGCGCCCTCCTGCGTTGCATCAGCAGAATCAGGAGAAAACGAGAATGATGAGGAGGGAAAGCTGTTGCGAAAGGAGAGCATGCGGAGCAGCAGCAGCAGCATAGCAAGGGCGATGACCAGGATCGGCAGTAGCAAAAGGATCGCAAGGTGCAGGAGGGTGAAGAGGAGAAGAAGTAGTATCAGCAGGAGAAGGATGACGATCAGCAGTACCCCTCAGGATCAGCAGGACGATAGTGTTGAGGAGTGGCTGGAGGAGCATCAGCAGGAGAACGGGGGGACTGTAAAGACGATGAGCACCAGGGTCAGGGTGAGGACAAGGAGAAGCAGCTGCATGGACAAAGTAACGCATGCGTAAAGACGAGTACACAAACACGGACACACACACACATTTGTAAGCCGGCGGCACAGAGGGTCCTCAAGTGCGGGCAGCACATGGAAGTG